TCACTCTATTAAAAAAAAGGGGGGGGACACAATCATTTATGTCTGGTATAAAATCAGGAGATTTTGGACTTTCAAGCTGTCACTATAATTGGAGTGAGTGCATTTCTGAGACCTGGTACAGGATATTCTGCACCAGCTCTGAAGGACAATCTTATGACTGAATGAATAAAAATCACATGGTACTTAAGAGTTCTGTGTTTCTTCTGAAGCAGCCTGAGTTTCAGAAATGTAGGAGGGGTCAGGGAAGAGGGATCTGAAGGCAGCAAAAAGGGAAGGCAATGCTTCTTCCATACCTTACAGGGCCACATGATAATGTTCCAAGCAGGTACTGTGCCAATGTGAGACCATGCTTTATGTGTCGGATAATGACTATATACTCATTGTTTTGGATTTAGAAACCACAATAATATGTGACAACTTGGAAAAGTAAAGAGAGAAACCAAAATGCCCAAGTTGGGGACAATTTTTAATACCAGCGAAGGCACTAAATAGTAGTGAATGGCTTGCGAGTGACCAATAAAGACAGAGTATGGTTTTGGTAAGATTCTTGAAAATCAGTTGGACAGTTGCAAAGCTTGACTTATGACTATTAGGGCCTGTTAGAATACAAGAATTAACTTATTGCCCAGTTACTCAGAAACACTGGTGGTGCAGGTCAAGAATTAAACAGAAATTTACAACTGAAGGACTCTTATTATGCAGGAAATTTTAGCTTATTTCAAAAATTCCTCCTTTGAATTTCAACTTACTGAACAGCAAACAAAAATGAATCTTCAAATTCAAATGGAAAATACTGAATAAGTTTAAGCTCCTGTAAAGACTTTGCCTACATCTCCAGTTCAGCATGTTATATGTCACACTTAGTTCAGTCAGAATATTTCAAACTGAGCATGTGAACAGAATTACATGAATGTGATATGATAAAGGTTTTAGAACTGATCATATTTACCATCTTATGGACAGAATGTCTACCAGTGAAACTAGGATGGGCTTTCATAGTGTAGTTGACAGATGGGTATGGGCAATTCTGTGTAAATTATGGATATGTCTCTCTTATGAAAAATTAGAGTAACAAATAAAGAAAACTAAACTTTAGCCATAAATATCTAGCATTCTTCAAAACACTTGTGTGGAAATATCCAACTGAAAGAAATTTGCTTGGGGAGGAAAAAAATGCATATAGAGTAAGCAAAATCTTCCTGATAGAAACCAAATGAAACTGTAGGTGATATTGTACAATGTAATTAGCTTCCTCATTTTAAACAGGAAAGCTGGAAAAGATCCAAGACTGCACTAGTAAACCAGTAAACGATGGTTTGATAGCACTTAGTATAGGACCCAGGACTCACAAATTGTTGCAATATAAAGTTTTGTCCTTCTTCAACAGGAATTCGAGAAGCCCCTTGCAAAATACCTCCAGGAAGAGTCCTACAGGATGCATTTCTTGCTGATTATACATCTGATCTGAACCATTGAGGGTCTGAGTACTGGAGGTTGTCAGCCAAGAACATGTTTTTCATTTTCTCCATTCACTGATCCATAACAGAATACTTGAGTTTTTTCATGTCAGCTATATAAAGACTTTTTCCAAGTAGAAGTTTCAACTTGGGAAGAAAATAATGTAAAGAATTAGTTACACTGGATTTCTCCCTTGTACAAAGCATTATAAAGCAGATGATAGTATTACCTCTTCAGGAAAGAATTACACTTAGCATGCTTGAACAATGAATCTACCAACTCATTTACTCTTGTAGTTGCTGTAAGGAAGTGAATGGGAGAAAGTGTAATGAAACCCTTAGTGAAAAACATTTTGTGGCTATACATAAAACCAGGTTACAATACCACTGTTTCCTTGGGAACTCTCTTGTCTAACAGAATTGTAAAGGAACAGAAAAAAGAAATGTGTGTCAGGAAACTTGTATTAATAACCATGCTTGTGTCAGTGTATTTAAATGACTTAGAGAAGTCACCAAAAGTCATATATCACATACTTTTGATATATGACTGAAATGAATTTTCAGTTGTGGAAGAACAATTCCAACAGAAGACTGTAAAATAGGGATAAGAATCTGTTTTTTCAGAGTATGATAGTGAGTTCAGATCAAGAGCTGAGATGGACAGGAAGGGCAGGTACCTGAGACACGTGAATATGAAGGTCAGAATTTAGAGATGTTTCATTACAGAGGGAATTACAAATGAATGCTCCTTAAAAATAAGTTTTATAAATGATCATACTACATGGTAATAACTTGTCTTGTTGGTTGAGTGTGGATTATTGTTGACACCATTACTCTGGTGTAGGTAGAGAGGTCTGTGCTCTGAGTATAGTTTCATCAGTAAGTCACGTGGGTAATGTTAATAACAGTAACAGTATGAGACAGTTCTCTGCAGGCTAACAGCAATGTCAACAAATTATGTTTTGATTTAATTGCAGGAAAACTTGAGGAATGATTGGTGGAACTGGCAGGCAGAAAGGAGGGTCGAAGCATAGAAAGGTCAAGTTGAACCATTTCTTCAGTGAGTCATGGGATGTCTTCTATTGTGAATCTGCTCTGTCTTCTCAAAGCAAATAGCTAGATAATATATGGGGATTACAGTTCCTGCCCCTGGATCTGTTTGTTTATAGTTACCTGCTTAATGGTACAGGATTTAGTGGGAACAGGGCAAATACCAAGGAGAAAAGAAAACCCTTGAAATTCTACTGTCATGCCAAGAGCAGGTATTTGCAGTTTGTGGATGAAAAATCACAGGAGCGTTGAAATGATTACAGAAGCAGGCACTGTAAATCCAGAAAGTTCAGAGGTAAATATCCATCAGAAAGAAACCCAGATGAATGAAGCAGTGCACAAAGAACTATAGGAATGTCTTACAAGGAGAAGTACGGTCAGAATAGCATTAGTTTCCAGGGTTGAGACATGGCATGAAATATTTTTGAAACAACCATGAAAACTGACAGTGTAGAGAGACTGCATTCAAGTGGTCTGGTTCTTCTTAATTATTCTTAGAAGCATTCAGTGATTTCTGTCTTTCCTCACTTCTCCAGGATAAAATGTAGTTTCCTGAAGGGATCAGTCCAGTAAGTTCTTCGATTCAACATTTCTAGATTGATAAGCACTGTACTATCTTTGGTACTCTGATGACACACAGTTCTCCATTTCCTCCTCTTTTTGATTTCAATGCCAGATTTATTTAGTGCCTGGAAGAAACAAGGAACTGGGTGAGAGCCAGCTGGCTGAAATCCAGTCTGAAAGGTGAAGGTGATGTGGACTGGAAGAGCAGAATGCTTTCAGGACTTGATGAAAAATCATACAGTTTATTTTACAAGGGTATCTTCTTAAGTATAGTATGCTCAGTGTCTGTACAATGGTTTATGTGTAATTACAAATGCTCTCTGATACATATTTTTACAGTAAGAAATGGAACAGGCTCCTTTACCACAACTAACCTATCATGTCCTTCTGGTTATCTCTTCCTCCAGAACTTGTTTTCCTGAAAGAATGATGTCTTCAACCCCATATTCCATGCAAAACCACTCAGCTAGCAGAGCTACATCCAAGGGTTTATGTGATGAGGAATTATAGCTAATCACAACCAGGATACTTTAAAGAAGATGACTTTTTATTTTTTTTTTTAATCTCAGGCCTTTGTACCTGGTTTGAACTTGAAGTTACAGTCCATTAAAAATAGTGCCAGCACCAGGAACCTATGGTTTGTGGTGGAGAGTCCAAACTGTCCAAACTAAACCTTACAAACCCATTTTATTATTGCTACATGCATTTATATGGTAAACCAATACTGATGTGAAATCACAGACTCAGGTAGGTTGGAAAAGACCTTTAAATAATCAAGTCCAACCATTACCCCAGGACTGCCAAGACCACCACTAAACCATGTCACTGAGGGGCTCATTTACATGGTTCTTGAACACTTACAGGGACGGTAATTCCACTGCTTCCCTGGGCAGCCTGTTCCAATGCCTGAGCACCCTCGTGGTGAAGAAGTTTTCCTTAACATCCAATCTAAACCTCCCCTGGAGCAGCTTGAGACCATTACCTCTTGTCCTATCACTTGTTACTTGGGAGAAGAGACTGACCCCCACCTCACTACAACCTCCTTTCAGGTAGCTGTAGAGAGAGATAAAATCTCCCCTGAGCCTTCCCTTTCCAGACCAAACAACCCCAGAAATAGGAGTTATGTATCATAATGTGACAGAGCATTAGGTAGAACTTTACTGCCTGTAAACAGATTGAAAACCTACAGATCTGGATTGAATTGTTTCTTCAGTGTTCTTGAATAGGTTATTTCCTGTTTATTTGGGCTGGATGGCATTTGGGGCATTGTAGGATTCTTTCTCCAGAAAGTATTTATTGCAATCAAAATGACTGACCATGTGCAGCATTTAGAGGTAGCGAAAGAAGTTTGAGAGGTTTAGTCCACCACTGCCTGGTTTCCAGGGTGGGAGAACTTCGTTCTCCAGGCTTTTCTCGCTGGTGTCATGTTCCTGTTCTGCTGGGTTGGAGGAATCTCTCCAGAGGTGGGGGGAAATTTCACAACCTGCGTTGGCTTAAGCACACGTCCGCAGGACGCTATATAGGTGATCGTGGAGCAGTAGCTCTGCTGGGCTTGACCCGCACGGTCGAAATCCGGTGCTGTTGCCAGCCCGGGGGGAACCTGTCCAGAGCCTTCCTTGCCGTCGCTCTCTGGTTCTCAGCCTTAACTGCAGACCACGCCGTATGGTCTTCGAGGGGACAGGGCTGTGGCGGACCCGCTGCTCTCCCGGCTCTTCGCCTTTCGCTGCCTCCTCTTACCGGTGCCGACGCTGCTCCCGACAGCTCTTTCTCTCTGGGGCTGCGCTCGGGGCCGGGCCCAGCCGAGCGGGTACCCCTCCCTTCCCGCCTGGACCCCGGGCAGCCCCCGCCGCGAGTGCAGCGGCCGCGCAGATTCTCCCCGCCCTCTGCCCCCCCGCGGCCGCCGGGATCGGTCCTCCCAGCGCGTCGCCGCCGCCTTGGCTCCTCCTTGTCCTTCCTCGCGTGATTTTTATCGCGTCCATTTTTCGTGCGGGGGTAAATAAATAAATAAATAAGGGCCGTCGCCGCCCAACCCGCGCGGTGCCACTAGGGGCGGCAGCTGGGCCCCGGCCCCGCTGAGGTGGGGGAGGCGGCGGGGCGATGCGGAGCCCCCTCCCGTGACTCCGGCGCTCCGCCATGCCATGGGTTAGGCGGACTCCATCCCGCAGCCGAGAGAGCACCAGCCAAGCGAGGCGGCGGCAGGAAGCGGCGCGGCTCGGCCGAGGAGCGGCGGCAGGAGGCGGTGGCGGCGGGAGGCGGGCGCGGTGCTCCGCCGGCCCCTCCATGGACGGCGGCGAGGAACTATGAGCCGCGGCCGGCGGCCGGGACTGGCGCTCGCCCGCTGGGGCTTTCCCCGCTGCGCGCCCCTGGGCGCCGGGGCCCCGCTGTCACCCGGTCCCCGTCTCGCCCATCCCGGCAGCCTCTGTCCCCGTCCCCTGACCCCCGCCGCTGGCTCCGTCCCCCTCCCTCCCCTCTGGGTGTTCGGAGTTAGGACAATCGCTCTCGCACCCAAACCACAGCGCTCCCGCAGCTAATCCTGCCCTTTCCGCGCTCCCTCCACACCCCGCCTCTGGCCCTTCCTCTCCCAGCTCTGCTCTCTCCCCTCCCTGCTCCCCCAGCTCGCCCCCGGGGCCCCTCTGTCCCTGTCCTCCCGCTGCCCCCGGCGAGCCGGTGGCCGGGCGGGTGGGAGCGAGGTCGGGGCTGCTGGCCACCCCGCCCCTCCCCGGAGGGGCCGTCATTAGGCTGCCGGTTGATTACAGGGTATTGATTTGTATGTGCTTCTCCCGGCGCCGGCGGCGGCCGCTCCCGCTGGAGTTAGGGCAGCGCTTTCCGTAGCGGCGGCGAGCTCCCTTCAAACATGTCGGCTCCCGCCGGGCCCCGGGGTGGCCCCGCTGCTCCCCAGCCTCCGCAGGCTCCTCAGCCCGAGATGCCGGACCTCAGCCACCTCACGGAGGAAGAGCGGAAGATCATTCTGGCCGTCATGGACCGCCAGAAGAAGGAAGAGGAGAAGGAGCAATCTGTGCTCAAGTAAGGGCGGGCGCATCCCTTTCTCGTTCTCCCGGCCCGTGGTCGCGGGCGCGGAGGTCTCTTCCCTGTCCTCGGGGGACTACTCGGCCGGGGTGGGAGAGAGGAGCCGGGCAGCTGGGGGGCGGGCAGGGGTGCCCGTGCCTCGGCAGCTGCTCGGCGCCGGGCGAGTGTGGGATACGGCGGGGCAGCGTCGGGGCCGGGAAGGCGGCGGGGCGCCGCGGCCCGGGCTCGCCGCCCGCTTCAGCCCCGCGGCACGGGGCGGGCGGCGGCGTGGCGGTTCCGACTCCGCACGCCCCGGCGCTGGCGGGGGCAAGGCGCCCAACATGGCCGCACAGGTGCCGTTCTCACCCGGCGTGTGCCATCAGGAGGAAGGGGGGGTGGGTCGGGGCGGCGGTTGGCGCCGCCGGATGGGGGCGGAACGGCGGCATCGGGCCCCGTCCCGGGGGCGCGGCGGGCTCGGGGCTGGTGGCGCCGGCCCTGCGGGGCGCTGGTGCGGCCGCCCGGGGCAGAGAGAGACCGCCGGGGCCTAGGCGCCATCCGTCTCGCTGGGGTGGGTTTGCCACAGCCGCCATCTTCCCCCGACAACGTGTCTGCCGCCCGCCCCCGCCCCGCTGCTCTTTCCAAGCGTGAGCTCCGGCGCCTGGGGAAGCGGGACTCCCTGCAGCCCGCCCGGCTTCAGCCCCGGGAGCTGTCCGCGGCCCGGCTTCAGCCCCGGGAGCTGTCCGCGGCCCGGCTTCAGCCCCGGGAGCTGTCCGCGGCCCGGCTTCAGCACCGGGAGCTGTCCGCGGCCCGGCTTCAGCACCGGGAGCTGTCCGCGGCTCTGCAGCTCTTGCAGCCCGGTCCGTTGCTGGCTGGACACTGGTGGGGAAGGCATGAGCCACCGGCCTCGGGGGGATCCGGCCCTGCCAAAGGTGTGCGGGTCCCGCCGTGGTGTGTGGCGTGGGCCGTGCCCTCCCCTCGGCTGCCGGGAGAGGGGAGTGGAGTAAACTCAAGGAAACTGTTCTCTCTCGGTGGCACAGGAATCATGCGGACTTCTAACGGCTTAAAAATAGGCAAAGCTACTGCTGTCGTGGCTGTGACTTTTATGAGTGCAATGAAGTTGAAGCAGTAAGCTGGTTTTTATACCAAAATCAGTACTGTGTCTTGGTCTTGTTACCTGCAGCTGGCCCATCACACTCAGTACCTGGAAGCTGGCTTCTGGGCTTTAGCTGTTGGCTGTGGAAGTCTGTTTCCAAGATTCATGGCATTAGTGTTAGTGTCATAACAAAAACTTTAGCCATCATTTGTGTGGCACCTACTAAACTGTGAGGCGATCTTCGCAAACTATTTCAATGTCCGTTTAAAAAGGTTCTTTTATTGGGTGAACATTTTGAAGAAAGAGTGGTGCAAGCACTGGAAATAAAGTGCCATACCTTGTTTTATCACTGCCTCTCAATCTCCAGCTATAAAATTTGCTTGCTATTGTGATACTTTTAAAGCATTTTAGACTCCTTTACAGTGCTAAATTGCGTGGCATATCAAAAAACCCACCAATTTTTGTCTACAATTTCTGCACCCCTAAAAATCATTAACAAAGAAGGTAAATGGAAAATTATTCAAGTTGCAGTTTAGATATTTAGTAATAGCATTGCAGTTTTAAACACCGCTCCTGGCAGCTTTTGTTGCAGACAGTACTACTTCTGGTCCAATACAAAGGACAATTTCAGTATGATACTAGGATCGGCTTGAACTGTTAAGCCTACAAATGGAGAATAAGCTGTTCTCAAGTAGTAACAAGGTAAAACCAACTTAAGAAAGGAATCAGAACTGTTTTAATTTGAAGTCTTCAGAATCTTGAAAGCAGAGAATGGACAAAAGAAAGGTCTTCACAAATCTAAAGATAAACTTCATATGATATTTCATTTCTCATTCTTTCTTGCTAAAGATGAGTGTAAGACGCAAGGGAAATTGTGTGACATCAAATTTAAACACAGTGGATAGCCTAAAACAGCTTTCTCAGGAAAATGCTGTTGCCAGTGGGATTTGGATAGATGGCCCATAGTATTTTACAGGATGCTGACAAGTGACCTGATGTCAGATGAGTAACTTGACAGTTTAATTTTTCTTAAAGTGAAGTAGCTCCTTGAACTGTCAGGTACATGTTTTTTTCTGAAAACATCTACAGATTTATTAAGCACAGCCCTCCACAAAGTCATCCCAGAGCTTGCACTGGATTTTAAGGTAGATATTACTGAATTTAATTCTCTTGACAGATGTTTTCCCTCTGTCAAGAGAAGAGAAAGCAGAAGAAAGAAAAAAACCCATATTTATGTGAATGAGCTACTGTTACTGCATAGAGATAAATATAGAGCTAAATCCTGCCGTCTTTGTTCAAGTGTAATTCTCCTCGAAGGCAAGCTCCTTTTGAAGTGGGAGGTATTTTTGTCTGACTAAGCAATAAAATTGTGTCATTTCATTCCATGGAGAATTATGGGAGGATAAAAAGGGAGGCTGAAAACAAGAGTTGACATTTAGAAATGTTATCACAAGAAATGTTCAAATGTTGTAGAAAGCAGCAAGCATGGTTTTCCTCTTTTCTTTTTTTTTTTTTATAATTTATGGTGCTTGAGTGTCAATATGAATGGCTAGTTGCTGGGCTCTACTTCCTTTCTCCATTCTATTTCTGTTTTGTGCTTTTCAGATCCTTATGGTGTGCCCATCAGTGTGGTATTTGAGCATCTTCCAAAAGTGCATTAAGTAGTGTGACTCACATCTGTAATGTGGACTATTTATTCTTTTCCTTTCACTCCCTGGGGTAAATATGTGTGGATTTAAAATAGATACATAACTTCTTCTCCTTATGCTTGTTTTACTCTTCTTGGGGAAAGGAAATGCAGATGGTATTGAGTTGTAATCTGTAGCAGCTAATAGTGATCAGGTCAGCATGAATTCTTGCCAGGATTTGCTGGAACATGATGGCATGGAGAATAGAAGCTTTCCAGATTTGCTCTCTCCTTTGGCCTGGTTTGGTCTGTGAAATACGCCTGGCTACAGTTGTGCACTGTATTCCTGTGATGGAGCTTCCGTATTCCTGTGGTGGAGCTTCTGCCTTAAAAAGAAGGATGGGCATCAAACTCTGCTGCTTTGACTGTCTCCCTTATGGAATTTTTGGGACCCTTAGAGTTCATTTTGAATGTCGTGTACTAAGATGGTGCCTTTTTGACAAGGTCACCGAATGTATATTTTGCACATGTGCTTTTTTACTTTTAATTTGTACTTTATTTCTATATGAAAGGACTAGCATGAGAGGATACTCACAGAAAAAAGATTCTTAGAAGATGCTAGGATGCTGACATTATTTATAAAGACTAATGTTTCAGCCTGTGTGGTATGCATATACACTTTTGTGTTTGTAGAATCATGAGTTTTGAGATCCTTTTCCTAGCTATTTTAAAGATAAAATGCTCTCCTTGTAAAGTCAGCTCTGGAGCTCTGAAAATACAGACATTTCATTTTCTCTTGGGTATGGATAGTTTGGCCTAGTAGAAGACAAATTTTCCCAAGAGGAATTTCATTATTAAATCATCCAGCTTTTCATGAATTTGCAAAACATCACAGGTTAACCATGAGGTCCTTAGGTCCTTATAAAAGATTTCTTTGTATTTGTCCACCTAAAATCAGCTGGCATTGTCATCTGTTTTATCCAGGGGGACAAGACAGATGGAAACATGGTGGGCTAGCTACAGAATGGTGGCTCTCTGTTAGCCACTACTTTCAAGTCCAGAGAAAGCTTGAGGAAGGCTTGACTGACTGCGGCTTCCTTGTGCTTAGTTGCCTTGTTGGTGATTGTACAGCCGTGGTAAAAATTGGGTAGCTACACTGACTGAAACAAAATCTTTGCCAAGCAGACCTCAAAGAAGCTAGACTGTGTGGGATCCATGTGGCACTGTGGGTGGGTGGGATGTGGGGCAGGATGCTGGGCCTCAGGGAGAGAAAGTGATAGATTGATGGCTGTGAGTCCCAGTAGTGTAAATATCTGCCTCACAAAGCTATTGTAGTGCTTTATAAACAATTATCCTACTTTATAAATAATCAACTCTGATTTACACTGCTTTAAAAACATTGTGTGTTTAAGATTTGGATTTCAGGGCTGAAGGGATGAAAACAATGTAGGTGGTGATTATTGGATTTTGTTTTTTGAAAATAGAGATAATGTATGAGGATTTTGAAAGTGTATAGGGTAATGCAAAAAGATTTGCTTTTTGCTTGATGATAAACTAGTACTCCAGGCAATGTTAGTTGTTTAAGTTAATGCTTCCATAACTTTACGCTGTGTTTTGTCTGAATCTGGAGTGCTGATCAGAACACTCCATTGCTATACCACTCATCATTTTGCTCTTGTTTCTATGTATTATAAAATAAAATATGATCAAGGTGACTTTAAAAGTAATAACACAGTGTAAAATAAGTGATAGTGGAAGTCATACAAAAATACATAGTTGAGGAAGATAGGTGTCCCATTTCATGCCCTGCCCTGTTTCATGCCCTTTTCCCTTCTTACCACCTCGTTCTCTGCTCCCTCTAATGTTATCATTTCCTCTATCTTTTGTTTTAACAATTTGTACTGCTTTTTGGATCTCTCTCAAAATGGTCATTATTCCTTGCCCTTCTCTCTTGCCACGTGCTTAGACATCTTATATTGTAGGTAATACTTGTCAGGATGTTGTGTTTGTACCATTTGGTCTTCAAGAAGACCTGCTGTTTATAACTGTTCTCTAAAGTATCTAGCATACTTTTGGGCAGTGTCTACAAATATTAGCAGGAGTACTTCCTCTTAGTGACTAAGCAGAATGTATCTAGAGATTATACAGACTGGCAGTTACAGTAATTACTGAGCTTGCTGATGTTTATGTTGAGTAAAATTTCAGAAGAGTGCAATAGTGCTGATGTTCCCACATTCAAGAAGTACAAGCAGAATGGGTTGCATGTGCAAAGACCTGACATCATATGGGGTGGAAAAA